GGAGCCGGGCGGCCCTTTCGGCAGCCCGGCAGCCACATGCGGACCCCCAGTAGGAGCAGCAGCAGACCCAGAGCCAGGAGCAGGCTGAGGTAGGCGCAGGGCACAACCAGGGACCATAACAATCTGGGGAGAGGAAGACACAGGACTGTGTTGTGGGTGGAGGTAACACCGGTTAGCTTGCTTGCTGCTAGTTAGGCTAAAGTTAGCTGTCCTATAGTACCGAAGGGTCCCGAGGTTATTTCTAGTGACACTCCGTTTTATGAGATTAAATCACTTTAGTGTAAGTGTGAGAAGTGAGGAGCCGTTTACCTCATTAAATCGCAGAAACAGAGAGAGAAGTTGTGCTCGTTACTGTGTTCGGCCATTTTGACAACAACAGTTTCACTAGCGGAAGCTTCTGTCAGCTGACCCCCATGCCTCTCTATGATTGGCTGAGCCTTTGTATAGCTACACGTCATCGACACGACTTTTCTTAAAACTCATGTTAAAATACATATACACTATACACCAATCAGGCATAACATTATGACCACTGGTAGGTGAAGTGAATAACATTGTCTGTTACTGTACGTCGGTCTCTATGAAGAGAAAGAGTTGGGGGCTGTAGTGGTGATATCACACCTAGAGCGGTGAGGCTGTTGGATTTGTCTAAAAACTTCTAACTCGTCCTCACGACCAATTTTCATTCCTTTTACATAAGTTTTTCACTGAATTGTAGACACATCTGTGCTCTTCCTGACAGTAGAACTGTGGAAGCAAGTGGATTTACAGAAGATGCACAGTGAGCTGCAGAGTGACACAAGTGCCGACCGACTGCCACATGGACTCCTATGTAAACAGTGTTAGGCAGGTGGTCATAATGTTATGGCTGATTGGTGTATATACTGTATGTATAGCATTGGTGCGTTTTACCTTTTTACTTTTATATTTCGTATTATAAAAGTGAAACCGTACAAACATGAAAATGATAATATTAAATAGGCCCTAAAACCAAATTACTTGTCCAACTTTACACCCAATAGTTGTTAATTTTTCCGGGTTTCAGCTGCTAATCGAGCTCAAGCTCACGCATTTGTACTGTACATGGAATTAAATAAAACACACACATGTAATACTTTTAAAAACAACAGATTTAACCAACACGTTTTAAACCTTTTACTATTATATTACTTTAAACATTAGTTCTCTACCTAATAGTTGCATCATTTGCATCTCCTTCTGCTAGACTCCGACCCCATATAGGGTATATTGATGTTTGTGCAATGAAAGGAGAAAAACAGCAAAGTTTACTGGTAGTAGCCACAAGAATATTCGCTGTCCAACTTAAACCTCTCACATGTAGTACATGCTAAAAATAAAAACAAACAGGACACTGCATGTTGTCATCTTCTTGTAAATTTGTTGTAAATGGTATTGTAAAAGCAAGAAGGCGCTAAATGGAAGAAGAAAGAGACAACAGGCTGCTGCTCACCTGTCCGACTCATGTGACGTCACTACGTCTTTAATATATCCCTGCAATTAAAACATTATCAAAAAAATTGAATCAAAGGTAACAGAAATACAGATAACTGTAATATAACTCTGTAATACATGGAATATAACATACAGGCAATTCAAATGCTATTATAGAGAGACTATAAATTTTTGCATGTATGGATGCCCTGGCAGTAGCCTGTGTGTTTCCCCTGCTGCCTTACTGGTAACTGAAAAATGTTATATATAAATATAAACCATTCAGTCAACATATATCAAAATGTAGGGATATATCAGTAAAGAGGAAACAACGGGCGCTGTGGTGTGCGCATGCGCAGTCAACTGAATGAGCTCCTCACACCGGAGCAGAATCCCAGTGCCCCTGGGCCAGGGGACCGTTTCCTCACCCGGTAAGCACCTTACCGGCGGTCCTGACAACTCTCCTGCAGAGAGAGTGGGCTACTCTGTCCAAAAGGTCGTTAGGGGACACAAATGGAGACGCTGGGTCAGTCTTCAGCATCGTTTTGCTTCATTTTTTAAGCGAAGCCGCCAAATACTTCCTGGCTCCAGTTACACGTTTCTGTGTTGACGGTTAGACAAAACAAGATGTTCCACTGAGCTGCTGGAAAGTTTAACACGCACTATCGACAAAATGATTAATAGAGAAAACAGATGATAGTGAAAATTGTTGTTAGCTGCTGGGTTTGTGTTAGTCTTATTCTCTGCTCTGTTTCAGTATGACGCATCCAGCTCCCCCAACCCCCACACGTGGTGAAGGCCTAGACCGAGTCCAGACCCTAGGCCCAGCTGAAACCTCTGGGATGAAGTGGACCAGGACTGTGTGCTGGTGTTCTGCCAAATTTTGCTACCTTGTCGAGGTATGGAACCTTGGTGCAAAGACTGTGGATTGACTAACCCCACCCCTCACCACTTTGTGAATGGTAGGCAGCAAAATTTGACAGCAGACCAGACCTCATCTGGACTCTGAGTTAATGCTGATGGTGTTCGACTTGGGGATGAAATGTTTGGTAAGTAGGATTCATACCTGTCTCCACCCCTTTGTGTGTCATTATGTGCCGTCATCAGCTGTCTCCTCACCTGTCCTGCTTGTACTTTCTTACAGGCCTGCACTTCAGTCTTTATTTCAATCTGCCTGTCTCTTTTCAAGCTCCCCCATTACTACCTGTCCTGCTTGTGTGCCTCGATCTAAAAGCCACAGGAAGGAGCAGCATCCTGACAACCACGGTTTCATTCAAATCAAAATTCGACCAGAGCCAATAAATACACACTCCTGCCCTCTGTAACTGAAACAACCACACCGATTAGAATTGTTTATGTGTAAATAAATGTGGTCTCTGTTAAAACCCCGTTCTCCTCCCGCCCTGCTGCGGCACCTGATCTCATCACAGTCCTGTTAGAAACTCTAAGGCCGGGTGTTTGGGGTGGGTCACCTTAGCTCGCAGCTTGCCTGCATTGCCATATAAAGACAAAACGCGCCTGCCATTCCTGTTTCTGAAGTGTTGCGTATCACTTCCTTCCTTGTAGATTTGAATAGATGCACCGCCGACTCAGTGCGCTGCCTGTTGAGCAGCACAGCAGCCAGACACAGCAGCGGAGGAAGAGAGGACGACAGATAAGCCTCCACGCCCAGAGATCACCAGCCTCCTCGCCTCACCTCACAGGTAAAGAACGGTCAGTGCAGCATCCCCGATGGCCTCACTGTGGGACGAGAAGCAGCGCAGAGGGACTGTGATTTATTTTTTATTCTTGTTTGAGTGAAAGATTGGTAAGAAAGCCTGAAGAGGGGAGATGGGGTGTGTAACTGTAATCCTGTGTTAGTGCACATTCACACCCTGAGCTGTCACTGCAGCCCAGTTCGTGCTGTTGTCATAAGTAACTTCTCGTCAAGAGCACAGAGCAACAACAGAAAGTTAAAACCTTGCTTATGGCAGTGGCAGAGCAGAGCAGAGTGAGGCCTACAGGGGAGAGGAAGAAGTCAAACCACTGCAGCGAGCTGAAAAGGAAGTTTGTGGTTAGCTTCACTTCAACTGCAAAAAGTCCCGAAACAGAAGCTCTGACAACAGCAGGACAGTGTTTCACCAGTGCTCGGTAACTTTATGTCGGAAAAGCACGATGAGCTGTGGTGGAGATGGTCACTGACCCTCGTGCACGTGTGAGGCATGTCGACGAGGTTCAGTCCACGCCACTCACTGACATCGTCCTGGCTTACTGACATCAGATTGTAAAACCAGGTCCAGGTGATGAGAAATGATCAAAGTTAGTTACTGGGAGGAAGTAACTAAATACATGTACTCAACTACAGTTTAATGGTTGTGCTGGAGGATTTCCATTTCCTGCCACATTATAGGTCTCCCCCACCACTGTTCACATGCAAACTGCACTTTCCCTGCACACTGGTGGTAGCTGTTACTGTACAGATTCACACATGTACTCATCAGACACGGTGCTTTGTCACAGATAAACTACTGCTACTTACACATTAACTGCAGTAAAGCCTTGACTTTCACTTGTAGTGGGGTATTTTTAACATGTGGTGTTGCAGAGGCAGCGACTCGAGTCACATGACTTGGATTAGGGTCATAAATTCGTTGGCGTTGCACATGGCCGGATTACAAACGAGCATCTTGTGACCTCTGCTTTAGGTTAGGAACCCAGTGATTCCTGCCAACAGGAATACTTTGAACTGGTCATTACCTCTGTTTTGTCACGCTCACATCGATTTAACATAAAACGTGCTGTGTGGATGTTTTTTTGTATACAGGAACAGACGGGTCTGTAACATGTGACACTCACAATACACAAATAATGATATAACTAAAGTAGCATCCAATCATGGGGATCTTTGAGTACCGTTTCAACTTGAGTTAAAGTTTCCACAGAAACCTGTGGTGGTGCTGTGATGATGGACGCTGGATGGACTATGTCTCTCGGCTGGCCTGGGAACGCCTTGGTATTCCCCCCAGAGGAGCTGGAGGAAGTGCCTAGGGAGAGGGAAGTCTGGGCATCTCTGCTTAGACTGCTGCCCCCGCAACCTGGTTCCAGATAAGCAGAGGAAGATGGATGGATGGATGGAATAGATGCTGCAACCTTCCTCACATGAACACAAGCGTGCGCTGAGGAGAAGTGGCTATTAAAACCCGGTCAGAGCTGCACTTTGGTTTCATTTCTGCTTCTGACCTGCTGACGCCACTTCTCACTTCAGGTTCATCTCACTAAATTTAGACTGCAGTGCTGTGGAGACAAACATGACCAATAGCAATACTTCCAGGTGTAAATGCATGCACACAGCCATAGACGTCTTCACTGTAATCTCTAACAGTGTGTGAGGGAGTCAGGCTCACAGGAGCTCAGATAAACTCCAGATTTGCCTTAAAGATGCTGAATTTGTGTTTATTTGACAGTGAAAGCTGCGTCACCAGTCCTGTGACTCATTTCTGACTGTTGTAAATTGTCAGAATAAACCAGCTTTTTCTGGAGCAGCACAGGAAGTTGTGTTACTCAGTTGAAATCTTGCAGTTGGCCTCGTCTCTGCGCTGTAAAATGTCCCTGTTCACGCCCTCCTCACTGGTGATGCGGGGGCAACTGTTCACACTGAACTCTGCCAAATAAGGACCTGCACTCGGCGTGAATTGTCACAGACTGATTGGAAGCTCTGCATACCTCTGGTCTGATACCTTTGTATCGAGCAAAACACAAGTGACGTCATTTTGGCTGTAGCTGTAATGTAATAATGCCGACACTGAACACCACAGTGGACAGCACGTTTTTTGCTCCCTGAGAAACAGTTGGTGACCATGACCCCCCTTCACAATGAACACGTGGCACTGCATTATGTCAGCCGGCTTTTCTTCACCTGTATTTCTCCAGGGTAGCTTCACTGAGAGGCCACCTGCAGGATACAC